CAGTTATGCAAGTGAGCTGCCTTAGTAACAAATCCTCCAGCCCTAGTGAAATCCTCAGATCTCTGAAGCCCTGGTGACCTTCATAGAAACCTTCAGAACCATCTGAGTAAAGTACTCTCAAATTCCCATAGACAAGGTAAGATAACAAATGTTTGTTGTTTTCAACCATTAAGTTCTGGGGGATAATTTGTTACACACCAATAGAAGACTAATATGCCTCCTCTGCGAAGCTTCCCCTCACAGCGGAGTGCAACCCTCTGTGCTGTGACGTGCAGGCTGAACCCCTGCCCCAACGCTAGAATGGGCAGTTTGGCCTCTTCCCTGTGCTCCCTGAAAGCTACCTGTGGGGAAAAAGTAAGTCTTGTTCATCCTTTAGTCTCTAGAACTAGGCACAGCAGATGTCCAATATCTGTATATTAAAATAAGATAGGAAGGAGGAAAATCTCAAGTATGGAAGAGAAACGAAATCTGATAAATACTTTGTAATTGTGGCTCAGCACCTATAGCACAATGGTTACGGCGCCAGCCACATACACCAAGGGTAGCTGGTTTGAACTTGGCCTGGGCCAGCTAAACAACAATGACAAGTTCAACAAAAAGTAGCCGAGCATTGTGGCAGGCCCCTGTAGTCCCAGCTACTTGGGAGGAGGCTGAGGCAAGATAACCGCTTAAGCCCAGGAGTTTGAGGTTGCTGTGAGGCCATGGCTCTCTACCAAGGATGACATAGTGAGACACTGTCTTTAAAAAAAAAAAAAATAAGATTTTGTAAATGTGAGTATCTTTTCTTCTTAAAATTCACATAATTCAGAAAAATGTAGGTGCCCATAACATTACAACACATTATCCAGGAGGGTGTTAGGGAGATGCAATTATATAATGGTTATAAATAGTATAAAATACTGTATGTCATCAGAATAGCATCTTACTTACCCAGCAACACCTTGGAATAAAGTTCTCCCAAAGTGAACATACCAAATTTAATATAGTTTATGCTCTTAAGTGACAACATCTTTAAAATAAAACTATCATTGATCATTTTTTGTTTGTGGGGCTATGAAGCCGGATCTCCTAACATCACAACCAAAGACTGACATTCTCCATAGGATGCCACAGTCACTCGACAGTCTTAAACAGTGGTTCTCAACCTTCCCAATGCCGCGACCCCTTAATACAGTTCCTCATGTTGTGGTGAGCCCCAACCATAAAATTATTTTCGTTGCTACTTCATAACTATGATATTGCTACTGTTACGAATCATCAGAATATAAATATCTGATTGGCAGGATGTATTTTCATTGTTACAAAGGGGTCGCGACCCACAGGTTGAGAACCGCTGGTCTAGAGTTTTCCTAAGGAAAGCTCAGTCATGTATAATCATGATAGTTAACATGTAACAATCCATGATGACCCATGGGTGATATGGGTAAAGATATAAATGTCTAAATGTTTAACCAAAAGTACATTTCAGATCAATTAATTCTTTTCAGATAAGCCAAGTTGGGGGGATGCAGAGAAAATCAACAAACTCTTTGAAAAAAATTATAAAATGAATTAAACTCTGAGAAGACTGGTAAGAGAGAAAACAAACTATGTACCATAAATGCAAAAAGGGGTGTCACTATCGACCCCACAGACATTAAAAAGCTAACAAGTGTGTGGAGAAAAGGGAACACTCCTACACTGCTGGTGGGATTGCAGACTAATACGTTCCTTTTGGAAAGACGTCTGGAGAACACTTAGAGAACTAAAAATAGACCAGCCATTCGATCTTACAATTCCTCTACTAGGTATATATCCAGAAGACCAAAAAGCACACTACAACAAAGATATTTGTACCAGAATGTCTATTGCAGCCCAATTCATAATTGCTAAGTCATGGAAGAAGCCCAAGTGCCCACTGAACCACGAATGGATCAATAAATTGTGGTATATGTACACCATGGAATATTATGCAGCCTTAAAGATGGAGACTTTACCTCCTTCATGTTTACATGGATGGAGCTGGAGAATATTCTTCTTAGCAAAGTATCTCAAGAATGGAAGAAAAAGTATCCAATGTACTCAGCCCTACTATGAAACTAATTTATAGCTTTCATGTGAAAGCTATACCCAATTTTAACCCAAAAATATGGGGAAAGGGGAGAGGGAAGGGAGTGGAGGATAGGTAGAGAGAGGGTGATTGGTAGGACCACGCCTATGGTTCATCTTACAAGGGTACATGTGAATCTTTCTAAATGTAGAATATGAATGTCTTGGCACAATAACTAAGAAAATGGCATGAAGGCTATGTTAATCAGTTTGATGAAAATATTTCAGATTGTATATAGAACCAGCACACTGTACCCCATGACTGCATTAATGTACACAGCTATGATTTATTTTTTAAAAAAAAGATAACAAGTGGTCATTAGAACAACTTTATCCTGATATACTATGGCAACTTAAGTGAATTACTCTATTGAAAACATTTACCCAAACTGACACAATAAAGAGAAAATTTAAATAAATAGCTCCCAAACTATTAAAGAAAGTGATTCGTAATCAAATACCTTTCCTGAAGGATGAAACTCCTAGCCCAGATTGCTACAGTGATAAATCTTATCACTTACAAAGTAATTCAAAATTAATACAAATTCTTTCAGAAAAGGGAGAGAAGAGAACAATACTTTAGTTGTATTGTGAGGCCGGCTTTACCCTGACATGAAAATCTGACTAATTTTATCCATTACTTTCCTTTTTTGCCTTCTAACATGTGACGATGGCCTGACTACATATTGGGTGGGAATCAGATGGGAATTATTCTAGGGAATAATTCCAAATAGCTTTTTTAAAGTTATAACAGAGCTTTCAAAAATATTAAAATGTTTCCTATTCCAAATAATGGAATGCTTTGGAAGCCACAGACTCTCTGTGTTACTTTCTGTAATACAGAGAGTCAGTATATACAATCCCTTGCCCGGTGCGGGCTGCTACTGTTCTTGGTTAATTGGTAGTTACATTGTAATTAAAAAGCAATTCATATTGCAGCTGCTTTCTCTTTTATTGTATCAGCTAAGGTTGAAGTTTTTTTGATTTTCTTCACTTTGATTTTTGGTATATCTGATTAGTAGGAGGGCGCAGATAAGCAGGTGGCACTGTTTACATCTGAAAGGTCAAGTCTAAGTGGTAGTGGTGCCCTTGACCTAGAAAGTATGCTGTACTTCTGCACGTTATTCCCACTGGGAAGAGCCCTCTGACCTTCTTCAATTTACTTGAGTTTTTTCCTCTCATGGAAGGACGTTGTTGTCAATCTACAAGTCTCAGATTAGTATTGAGCACATGTGACGCCTATCTTTCCGTTGGTGATACTTTGGACAGTGTCCTGCAGATCCATCCAAGTTGTAACAAAGGACACCCAATCTCCTTCTAGGTCTGAACAGCATCCCATGGTGTACATATGCCACAGCGTATTAAGCCCTTCCTGTACTTAGGGCACTTAGGTTGTTTCTGCATCTTTGCAGTTGTAAATTGGGCTGCTACAAACTGTAATTTTTCAGACGTATTTTCTTTAACACAGATCTACCGTTTTCATTTTTAAATATCTTTTATTTAGATTTCTTTTAGGTATTTCCTAAGAATCTTCTGGGTCTCCATTCTTGTTGTAGCTGTCGTCGTTGAGATCAATGAAGCGCAGCCTTTCACAGGGTTGATATGAACCAATCCCACACATTTCCCTATGATTTCTTACCTTAATGATTCTGCTTATGGTGTCATTAGGCTATTATTTTTAATTTCAAATATATTCCTCATCAACAGTATTCCTCATAAACATAAATGTGAAAAACATAAGCAAAATATTAGGAAATAGAATGCAGCTATACGTAAAAAAGGATATACACTGGGCCTAAGCAAAGTTATCCTAGAAAGGGAAACTTGAGTTCCCATTTGAAAATCAATGCCTTCTGGGCAGTCCCTGTGGCTCAGTGAGTAGGGCGCCGGCCCCATATACTGAGGGTGGCAGGTTTGAACCCAGCCCTGGCCAAAACTGCAACAAAAAAAAATAGCTGGCCATCGTGGCAGGTGCCTGTAGTCCCAGCTCCTCGGGAAGCTGAGGCAAGAGAATCACCTAAGCCCAAGAGCTGGAGGTTGCTGTGAGCTGTTACACCACAGCACTCTACTCAGGGTGACAAACAGAGACTGTCTCTTACCAAAAGAGAAAAGAAAATCCATGCCTTTCATGATATCAACAGAATAAAGAAAAATATATAGTCTTTTCAACAAATGGCAAAAAAAAAAGACAAAGTTCAACACCCAATTCATGATAAAAATTCCCAACAAACTAGGACTAGAAGAGAATTTCTTCAAGGTGATAAAAGACATATCTGAAAGCTGTGGTAGGGAGCATACTGAATAATAAAACAGTGAGACTTTCCCCCTCAGGATAACCTTCCTCATCACTTGTACTCAACAGTGGTCTGAATTCTTTGCTAGTTCAATATAGTGAGAAGCTATCAAGTCATAGCCTTGTGAAAGAAAAAGTAAGAATGTTATTTTTTGTAGCACCTAAGGGCCTGAGTGCCTCAAGTGCTTTCCTTAAAGCAAAATATCACATTAATTAATTGAACACTGCCTGTGTGTGAGTCTGAATGATAAAGACGAGATTCTGGAAAACGCTAGCTGCCGTGAGAGGTTTACATCCATAACCGAGTAAGCCAGCTCTTCTGGGGGAGCGTGTTGAGGTAGGGGAAGAGGCCAATAACGACCTCAGAGAGACAAGTGCTCATCTCAGACCCTCAGGAAGGTCAAATCACCTCCTCCACCTGCAGAATCACTGGGTACTGAGCCAGCCCCACTGAGAGATGGGTCTGATCCCGCATGAATCCTGGGAAAAAATCCACTGGCCTGAATCACGCACCTGACTGGAAGCCTCTATCCGGTACTCCCCTTTTACTCATTTATTTGGCTTTAAAGAATAAGGACATGGTTTTGCAACCAAAGGGAGCAAAGTAAAACCAAAGTACCATGGTCCTGATCGGGTGCTTCCAGGTGGTACCCGTACCCCAGCAGCGTCCGCACGGCCTCCCGGAGGCTGTCCTTGTTCGATTTCTTGGTTCGGTCATCCAGGAGAGTGTAGGGAACCAGGCGAGGGTTTCTTCTGTTCTTTACATCCTACAGGAAAAAGGAATAAGTATGAATGAGTATGTCCACATCAAAGCAGCACTAAGGGATTTTAAAAATAAGGCGGCAACCCCCAAACACATCACAATTTAAAGCTTGTGAGGTAAAACCCGCCCCCTCCACAGTCCCTTTGTTTTCCAAGGCTACAAGTTACTGAAAGGCTGTCAAAGATTCAATCAAATGAGTAAATGCAAGAATTTATTTTTTTTATCTTGCAGTTTTTGGCCAGGGCCGGGTTTGAACCCGCCACCTCCAGTATATGGGGCCAGCGCCCCACTCCTTTGAGTCACGAAGTGGGCCTTTTCCATGAGAATGGAAAAAAAATGACAACACTAACAAAAGACAGGGTATAATGATCGCTCCTCCATCTGCTGTGGTCACAGGCAAAGGGCTAACTTAGAAATCATGTAATTGATTTCTGACACTGACAAGTCTTCTTTTCTTTATTTTTTTGTTCTAAGAATAACCAAATCAGTACTGGTCACTCTTCAGTGATTTTGAGTCAAGAGGCTGCTTTCCTTTCTTCAGAAGAAACCCTGAGTGTTACCAACTGCCATTCTATGTCACTCAAATAGTTGAAAACTGCACATCAGGTGGACTCCATCAACCAGGCAACACCAGGGGCACGGAAATGATGACACAACTCACAACCTATCTATTGTAAAAGAGGGTCCTCACTTAAAGTGTGGGGGACATGTGCTAATGAAGAGAACAGGCTTCTTAACCATGCTGGCAAGAGGCCGCCTAATCCTACTGTGAGTACAAAACTTGCATGGGAGGGTGGCGATCGTGTGTAGGTGCTGCCACTTAGGAAATTACTTCTTCCTGGTCATTCACTGAGACTCTGGCAGTATCTGTCAGAATTTCTATATTTCAAGAAGCATAATTGAGTTGTAATTTATGTTAACATAAAAAGGAATTGGTGGGGGGCTGTGAATGTTCCCATATTTTCTAACAAAGAAAGGAAATGAAGGGAAGGGAAGGGGGGGAGAGGAGAGAAGGGGAGGGGATGGGAGAGGAGAGAAGGGGAGGGGAGGGGAAAAAATTTATGGAGGTAGCCACAGGTTTGGGAGGGGAGGGGAGGGGAGGAGAGGGGAGGGAAGAAAAAGAAGTTATGGAGGTAGCCACAGGTTTTGAAGGGGATGGGAGTGGAAAGGAGGGGAAAAGAGGGGAAAGGAGGGCAGGGGAGGGGAGGGAAGGGAAGAGAAGAGGAAAAAAAGTTATGGAGGTAGCCACAGGTTTTGGTAAAACAACGAAGGAATATTATTTTCTCTCTTTTTTCTTCTCTGTTTCCAGCAAATTTGTCCTGAACTCTGAATACCTACTAACACCTTGTATTAAAATTATCCAACCAATAACTGGGTGGTGAAAGCTGATCTGACTGATGCAAGGTTGTCTGTGGTCCTTGCTGACCCGTCTTTGGTATTATAATGCCTTCGTTATGCTGAGTGAACAATCGTTTAAAGTCTGCTGCTTTACTGAGATTATTGTTTAAAATGTAATATATTCCCACATTACCCAATGTTTTTGAATTTTGAAATTCATCTGGCCCCAGGAGTTGTGGATAAGGAATTATGGACCAGTTTTATTACTATTTTGTCTCAATTTTCTTACATTTCAAAAGTTTCTTCTAAAATACCATCTCAGAGAAATGCCGCAGAACTCCTAACTCACCAGTGTGGTGCTCCTCACTGTGGACCTAATGTGTGTCTTTCATGATCACATCCTGAGCTAAGTACATCCAATTTCCTGTGTCTAGTACTGAACAAGTGCTTTAGTACACATGCTCAAGTTCGTTTGGATATCTGGATGACACATGTTTTAAAACAGTCATTATTAAATCCCTCCTGTTACAAATTATGCACTTCAGTCAGTCTCAGGCCACTAGTTATGAAGCTGGGTTCCCACGTACCTGCTGGATGCCATACGTCCAGCCCTGTCGGATCCGATCCCGGGCCCACACGTTGTGGGCATTTTCTGCCAACTTGTCCACCATTGCTTCTTGAGATGGAGTGAGTTTTATAAAGCTCAGGTCCATTGGGGCAGGCTTGTATCCACTTGTTAGCTGGTAACTACAAAGCAAAGATGAATATAGCTTTGGGTTTTTTCAGACAAATCTCTAAAGCTGACCTACCATTTGATCCTGCAATTCCATTACTAGGTATCTACTCAGATGAAAAAAATCATTTCCTAACAAAGATATTTACACTGGAATGTTTACTGCAGCCTGATTCATAATTGCCAAGTTGTGCAAGAAGCTCAAATGCCCAAAAATTCTGATGAATTTTTCTCACTGGTATTCATCAACCCATGAACAAATTGTGGTATATGTACACCAGAGAATACTATGCAGCCATAAAAAAGATGGAGACTTTACATCTGTTATGTTTCCCTGGATGGACCTAAAACATATTCTTCATAGTAAAGTATCTCAAGAATGGAAAAAAAAAGTATACAATTTACTCAATACTATTATGAAACCAATATATTCATACAAATGATAAAACACAAATGTAGTCCAGAAATAAGGAGGGAAGAGGTTAGTGGAGGGAGGAGGGAGAGCATTTGGTGAGCCTAATGTGCAGAAGGCAAAGATACATCTCAAAATAACTAAATATCATACCACAAATATAAGTCAAGTGATGGTTATATTAATCAGTTTGATTTAAGCATTCCACATTGTATATCAAAACATCACATTATACCCCATGAATGTATACCATTATGATCTAATTTAAAAAATCCCTATCGTGGCCATTTATGGCCTCATCTAATTCCAGTTGTTCCATAAACTACACTGGCAACTGCGGCTAACGTGCAAGTCAGCAAGCCTGGATCCCATTCACTTCAGCCAATAAGCAATGAGGGAGAAAAGCCACAGAATCTTTACATTTTCATTTTTATGCTGATAAAACAGCAATGAGACAACCTGTCTAACTCTCAAAGATGAGAAGGAACCTATCATTGTTTGCGTTCAACAAAAGTTGAGGCTTTTGTATAGTCTAAATCAAAATGCTGGTTATCTATTAAAAAATTTGATGGATTTCTCCTCCTGTTAAGTCCTGATTTTGCTTCAACTTTAAAAAATGTTATACCAGCATAATATTTATTTCATCAATCGGTGCATCCTTTCAGATACTATCTGTTCCTTATTCTACAGGGAAATTTTAATGCATATGTAATTTATTTCCCTATTGTCAACCCCAGTTACATTATTTAGGAAGACACTAAGTAAGATGGAGTCTAGAAAGTAGAGAAAAATTTCAGCTATAAAATCATCTAAAACATATTACATTTTATTTCCCTGGAGTTCAAGGAACTCTTACCAGAGACCTACTTTCATAATCTCAGCTGCAGAAAGAAGGTATGAAAACAGGGGAAAGTTTCAATCTTTGGGAAGGAAACATAAAATTGAAAATATTCCATTTTCAACATGCACAGGCCTAGTGTAAGGACAGGTACTGCCCTGTTACACACAGACACACAAACAGCTGCTCTGTTCTCATTAATCCTGAGATTAGTAGGAAGGCTGTTTCATAAGCCATTTTCTTTCATTCTTCTGTCATATTCCCAAGGATCAACTCGACCTTGAGGTCAGGATCTGTTTCTGATGAATTTTTCTCACTGGTATTATTCTTACAACAGTTCCCAGAAGGTAGTAGTATTGGACAGCTTTTGAAAGAATTAATTTTATTTACTAAATATAAACATACATGATGCGGCATAGAGCAAGATGGTGGACTAGAGATACGTCTTTGCCAGCTGCTCATGGTGAGACAGGGGTCAGAAGATTTTGGCCACCTCTGGCTGGGAGAACCTACCCAGAAACATGGCTCCCGGGGCCCAGTGAAGCACTGGGAGATTCAGGAGACAACAAGGAGGCCTGAAGCTGAGCAGGACCAGCACAGAGGGCAGGTGCTGGGGTACAGGCAGAAGCTGGCTGGCGGTCCTCCCATGGAGGACTGGAGGTGGGAAAGGGCTACCCTGCAGTGTTTGTGATTGGACTGGACTGCTCCCTGGACAAGCAAAGGAACTTGAGCAGTGTCCAGCAGCCGGGCGGGATGAAGCTCTGTCAGCTCAACTATAGGTGGGCTGTTACCGTGGGAAAGCCTTTGGGGAGAAACCGTCTGGGGGGTCCTAGTGCACAGCCAGCATTGGCAGGCCTGCTGAACTCGGGAAGCCATCTTTGGGGTGAGTTCAGCTCCCCACCACCTGAGGAAAACCACTTTGTTATTAGAGGGTGCTGTTTGAAAGGTCAGGATGTACCACCTGAGAGATCTGGTGAAAGCTTTGGGATCCTAACCCTGTAGGGACTGAGTGCTTACCAAGCAACCAGGCCCTGACAGGGGGCAAGTAGGTTGGAGGGCAGATTTGGGTTTCCTCCAAAACTGGAGAGTGTCTTCCAGCCCCCAATATTAATATAGCAAAACAGCATGTATTCTCTGCCTCCTAACACCACAGCACCACCTGGTGTCCAGGCAACATATTGCAAGATATATGTGTATATGTGTGTATACTCACATATATAATTTTTCTCCTTTTATCTTGCTATTTTTCCAATTTTTTCCTTAGGTTTTTTTCCTTCTTTTGTTATTACTATCGTTCTTTCTTGTTTTGTTTGGTTTAGATGCATTTTTATTTCTTCAGTTTTACTTCCTTCAATAGCAAAGCCTCCTCCATTTTTGGTTATGGCTTTTCAGCCTCTTTTATTCTTTAGTTCTCTCAATTTTCTCTCCTTTAGTACAGACATTTCTATTTTTGTCATCCTGTCCACATACATTTCTCATACAACAACTAAGATATCCCTTTTTTCCCCCTTCAGTTTATATAATTGTATATTTCCTTTATTTTATTATTATGTTATTTTCTCTTAGGACTGAAGATCACAGCACTGGTGTGGCTGAGGAGGGAGATCACGGCATTGGTCTGGCTCACGGAGGTCATGAGCTCATAGTCTAGGGTGTCCCTAGCTTTGGCTTTGGGAAAGATGGTATTGGTAGGTTTTCATGTAGACATACTGCTGCGTTTTTCCTATGTTTGGCAGACAGAGTCTTGGTTGGGCAGAATAGTAAGGAGATCCTGACCTCAAGGGACCCACACAACCTGCCCCCCAAGATCCTAGAGTTGTGGGTGTGGGTCAAAGCACCCTGCCGGCCATCACCATTACTGCTCTCTCTCTCTTTCCCTATCTCTGTCCTTCATCTTTCCTTTTCCTCAATTCATTCCTTTCACGCACTCCCTTCTTTTTATATTTTCTATATCTTTTTCTATCCTTTCTGCCTTCGTACTCTTTTCTCTTCCTTTTGGCCATATGCATAACTAAAGGCCACTTCAACACCTAAGCTCATAGACAAGGTAATTGAAAGAGAAGGAGACAGTGAGAGGAAAATGTAGGGAAATGAAGTGAACAAGAGGAAAAAACACAGAGGAGAAAGCAGCAGAAAAATTCTGTCAACATTAAAACCCAGAACAGAGCAACCCCTCCAAAAGAATATGAGGTAGCCACCACAGAGGAGTCTACTTATCAAGATTTAATGGAAATGATAGAAGGAGATTTAAAATATGGATGGCAAAGGCATTAAAGGGAATTTGTAAGAAAGTGGAAAAACAGACCCAAAAAATGGATGAAAGAAATGAAGAATAGAGAAAGGATATGGCAGAGCTTAAGGAACTGAAGGACCCAATCAGGGAACTTAAAGATGCAATAGAAAGTATCAATAACAGATTAAACCATGGAGAAGAAAGAATCTCAGAATTTGAGGATAAACCACTTGAGCTAACCCAAGTAGTTAAAGAAGCAGAAAAGAAGAGAAAGAGAAAGTAGTACATTCACTAAGAGAACTACGGAACTTTAGGAAATGTTCAAATTATAGGTAACCCTGAAGGAGAAGAACATCCCAAAGGAACAGAGGCCCTACTGAAGGATATCACAAATGAAAGTTCCCCATGTTTACTAAAGATTCTGAAATAGTCCTTTTAGAGGGCTTCTTCCAGGACTTGGCAATTATGGATTGGGCTGTAGTGAACATTCTGGTGTAAATATCTTTGTTATGAAATGATTTTTGTTCATCTGGGTAGATACCTAGTAATGGAATTGCAGGATCAAATGGTAGCTCATCTCAAAGGTATCTACACATTCCATTCTAAACAGCAGTGTCCCCAAAGTAGCCCCTTAAGTTGCCCATTCATTCTAAACAGTGTCCCCAAAGTAGCCCCTTAAGTTGCCACACACAGAGAAAATGAGAAATTGTAGTTAAATGTACATTTATTTACAAAATAATCATTACAAAATTCTACAATGAGGTGGCCAACACATAAAGAATATTTTGTAAACATTTTATAAGATTTTGTAATGACGATTTTGTAAATAAACATACATTTAGCTATAATTGTCCATTTTCCCCATGTATAGTGACTTCCAAGAACATTATCTGGGACATCCTGTACTTTTTTAAACTTTCTTCAAAAATTCTGCTAAAATCAGCCAATATATTTCTCTCTCCTCCAACTGACTCATTTAGTAGGTATAAGCTTTTACTCCCCTACTTGAATATGTAAGGTAACTGTCCCATCAGTCGTCCTATGGAATTAGCTTATGAGGAATATACATGGAATTAACCAAATCCATGCAACACACTCACTTTCTAAGATATCAAAATACTTTTGTAGCTCTTAGTTTTATTTTCGCAAATATAAAATAAAATAAAACAAAATGAAATACAACAAAATGAAATGAAGCCACAACAGTGAAAGTACTGAAACACCTCGATCTACCTGGGCTTCAGTTTCTTTAAAGTAAAATTTCTTTTTAAAAGACTTCTGGAAACAAAGAAAAGGAAACAAACTAGAAAACTACCAGTTCCCTGTGCATCAGGTTACCAAGATGTAAACAAAAAAATGACAGTACTTCGCTCCGCAGAGAACTATCAGGTTAAATAACAATTAGGTTTTGTGCTTCATTCTTACCTGATCTACATATTTCCTAAATGAGTATTTTCTAAATGAGCCTTTGAAAACAAAAAGGACTCACCATAATATCACTAAAGGGCCAATTGAAGTGATACCACAAAAA